ATTTAATATTATCTTCCCATCTATTTCTAGGTCTTCCTAGTGACTCCTTTTCTTCAGGTTTTCCAGCTACACCTATATATTCACTTATTCTCCCTACCGTACGTACTACACGCCATGCACATCTTATTCTAATTGATGCGATCAGTCTGTTAAAATAGTTTTCCTTTGACTAAGGTCGTTCCAAAGAATCTGTCCCCTCCGAAGACCCGATGATGGTTTGTTGGCTCGAAGCTTGGAACTACCCGTAGTCTGCTGACTCACTGTACACCAAATCAGTCTGGGCCTGTTTAAGCCGATTACAATGTTCGCACGGTCTAAAGCATGAACCGTCTTCGCCCGCTGGAACACTGAGATCTTGGGTTCGAATCCTACTCATGTCTGTGTACGTTTATGCTGTATTTGTGTTGTCATGTGTGTAGGTAGCGGCCTTGCGACGGTCTGACCACCCGTCCAAGGAGTCCTACCTGTTGTGTGGAGATTAAGGAACTGAAAAGGCGGTCAAAATCACAAGGGCTGCCGGTTGCTAGCCGAAGAATGGCAGTCCAGTGATAGTGCTGCTACCCTGAAGCTTGTGGACATGTCTCTGTTCCTATGTTGCATCCAGCGCTGACAAGACGTGTCGCTGTACCTCGAGTGACGCAAACCCTTCAGCGGAAACAGAGAGCGACGGAAGACAAGGCTGAAGAATGAGGCATGCTACAGGAGAAGCATCCTGCTTCAAGTGTACCATAATGAACACCTTTTCGTAATTATATTTGTATTTGCTCTACGTGACGCATTTTCGAACCTCCGTTACAAGAAAGAGGAGATTGTATGTATATAAGTTTACTTGAAGTTAAAAAACATAGGAGTGGTTCCCAAACTTTGGACATGACGCTCCCTTATTACTTACCACCGACTCATCAGGCCTTACAACTATTTTATTGAAGGAAATATAACCAGTTGTACTCATCTTTCTGTTATTATTGTTGATAAATTAGCTCGTAGTTAGTATATTACCGTACAAAAATTGCTGGTAAATATACAAATTTAAAAAGTAAAAGACTCTACTTCGAGCTTCATGTGGCGATGAATAAAACCCACAAATTTTGAAATATATTCGTTCTAATCACTTTTCTAATTCCATGTTTAACAATTCTGACGGGAGATTTCTGAAGAGCTAGAATATATTATTTATGTTGAATGTAAGCTTAAGTTCTGCCCCTTCCTTCTCTTCCATGACTTAACGCCCTTTCACCGGTGTATCAATTTCCAAGATGGAAACCACTGCTATAGAGGCATACATATCTGTAAATTGGACGTTTTGAAAACATGTGTACTCAATCGAGGCAGGCCGTAATTTCCAATGCCGATGAGTCAGGAACCCGCAAAAGGAACTTTTCTGCGCTCTCTTTTGATCTGTCCTAGAAAGAGGTTATGCTGCGTTGTGATTCTCCCGCTTGGGACCTGTGTTACATTGACTTAAATGGCATAATGTTAGTCGATTAATTTCACTCTTGAGGAGTTATATCTTCTAGCACCTAACGCCATGTAGTCTGTTGAAAGACAACCGACGTGTCGGGAAATCATGTCGCCTCTATAGTGAGTATTGAAAGTAATAAAAGCAAGAAACTAGCATGAGGCAGCAGCCAGCAATTGCTTCCTTACGCCGTCTAGTCAGTCTACTTTTACCGATGTTTCGGAGGAATGTGTTGCCTCTATCATGAACACCGAAGATTAAATACAAAGACAGAATGCTTCTCCGAAACATAGAAAAAAAAAATCGACCAGACTACACGGAGTCACATCATACAAGTAGTGTTCACAGTCACCGATGTTGAAACTTCCAACCTTATGATTATTCTAAGCTGTGAGAGAGCCAACTCCCGCACAAGCGTAGGGGCCTCTATTTAATGTACGGGGTCCAAGACAATATTGGTATAATGAGGCAACCATGTTCACAGACTTTTAGAGAACCGTATATACGCAGTCACCACGTGTGAGCATGCATTGTCTTCAGAGTGGTGGGTGGGCGAGTGTTACTGAACACAACCTTTCGCTCTGGTGGATGTGGTTGAATTAACTTGTAAATATTTGAGACTACTTATGTTGACATCAAGAATTATGAAAGAAGTTCAATTATAAGTTTGATTCTTACAAATATGGCCGTCTTTATATTGTGGATAGTTAGCGTTTCAGTAAAATCTTTTGTTTTTGTTTGCTTCCGTTCTTGTCATAGTCTTGCATATTTCTCGCTGGCAGTAATATCTCTCCGTCAGAATCCGGAAGACGAGGTTCGAAGTGCCACTTGTGTAGCAATCGGATGAGTGGGGGGGGGGGGGNTTGGCAATTGCTGTGATTAGTCCATTAGTGCTGAGGTGAGATTGAATTAATTCGATGGTGTTGATTCGCGTTGCGTCAGCAAACACACTTGTGTTTCCCTGCCGTGTTTCTACAGACGGCACGTCAGTAGGTCAGAACCGTCTAACATAGCCTATTGCTCAGAGGCAAAATGTTACCTGCTGTAATGGCCACGTTTATGTACAGAAATTATTACTCTTGAAAACGTATTCAGATTATGTTCACTTCAGTGAGTCTGGGATTTCATGTACAACAATTTAAGTCAGCCGATCACACTGGCCGCGCAGTCTAAGTCATAAACTACGTATCTTCGCCAGCTCGAACACTGGGATTGTGGGTTCGAATCCTACTCGAAGCATGGATGTCTGTGTGTAGGTAACGGCCTGGGGCACGCGGTAGCGTAGTTGGTTGAGGCACTGTGCTTCAAGCCGGAAGGTCGCGGGTTCAAGTAACAATGAGGTCAATGGATTTTGTCACTTGATCTAATCCTTTCGGCGGCACTATGGCCCTGGGCTCGACTCAGCCTCTAACAGGAGTGAGTACCAGGAATATTTATGTGGGTAAAGGGCGGCCTGCACATAGGACTGACAACCATGCGTCCATCTATGAGCCGATTGTCTAGAAAATGTGGGAACCTCAATATCTCACAACTCTGTGGGCCTCCAGGGCCTGTTACAGGGATACCATTACTTTTTTTACTTGTAGGTAGCAGCCTTGCGACGGACTGATTGCCCTTCCAAGTAGTCCTACTGACTACGTATGGGATTAAGAAACTGAAAAAGGCATAGGTCCGGAGGGCTATAGAGCCATAGAGAGAGAGAAAAGAAAGATTAAGGAATATAAAGGGCGACATTAACGGATAAGCACTTAATTACTACACGAGGAAGCCCAAGACTACAATCAGGTAAGACGGCTAAGAATATTATCATGGATTTTGCCCATCTGCTTGAGTTCTTCAAGCTGAACTTTTCGAACACCGGTTCTTTTTTAGTCATCAGGTGTAAGAAAGAAAATGTCTCTACTCGGCAGGGTCCTCCAAATCTTGTGTTTGAAGAAACTAAAGATGATATGCAGTATTCAAAACCATAGTCTTCTTAACTGCAACACATCATCATCATCACAAAAATTTAGATTTAGATAAGACTGCTTCGCTAATCATTGTAATAACGGGGCCCAAGAAGTAACAGATGTACGTATCGTTCTCCTGACAGCCAGTAACCTGAAGGCGGGGTAGAGCCTGTTTTTCATATCTCACGTGTATTAAATATGTATCAGGCAGTCACTTCTCAGTAGAATTATGACAGTCTTATTTACTTTTTCGTATTCTTTGTGTCAGAAATTAAAGCCAGTTTAGTTTATATTAGACAAAAGAAAAGTGAAGAAAGCAGTCTTCTGGGATTTGGCACCGTGTATATGTGGTGTTAACCGACGTTTCGGAGGAACGTATCGCCCCCATCTTCAGGGTAGAAGAAAAAGTATAAGAATTCTGCAAGCGACAACACCGTGAGAAACGGTAAAGCAGACTGCTTTACCGTTGCATTTTTGAGTGAAATACGTAGTTAAGTACAGACTAACGTAACATTAACGTGGAATTGCCCAAATGTGTAATATCAAAGACATATTACAGCGCTTTTCACTGACAATGCATACAGTATTTCACGAATCACTTTAACTTTCTCTTCAATGCTTAANTTCCTTCTCGCATAATTTCCAGTTTATTTTTCATTAATCAACCTATTATTCGAAGCTATGGAATTTTGATCTGCTAAAGGTTACACTACCGTAGTGAACAGAGAAGTTCATGGAGGCCTACTGGGGCTGAAGTGCCAAGGAAAAGATAAGGTTACACTAGCCGGTCACGGTAGCCGAGCTGTCTAATGCATGTACTGTCTTCGCTCGCTTGGAAACCGCGATAGTGGATTCGAATCCCACTCAGGGCATGGAGGTTTGTGTGCGTTTTTCTGTGTTTGTGTACAGGTAGAGGCCTTGCGACGAGCTGATCACCCGCCCAAGGAGACCTACCTAATGTGTAAGATATAGAAAAACCGAAGTGAACGGAGAAGTTCATGGAGGTAGGTTTAGGCCCACTGGGGCTGTAGTGCCAAGGAAAAAAAAAAGGTTACACTAAATAGCCGCAAATGAATATTCGGGGACTCATAACACACATGTGATGACGTGAAAGCTCTCTGACAGTGGTTCTGAAACCGCTGCATTCTTAGATAATCTTTGTGTGAACAAAATCTTATATCATTCAAGCACTTCTTTCAAATTACGTTAGTAACTAATATGGCTCTTCTTAATTAATGTTACCACACAGAAGGAAAATTAACTGTTCGAGGTGGTGACCTATATTCGGGCCATCTGGAAGCTATAAAATAATCTTAATTCATTCACAAGAGAACGCATTCAGTGTGTGAGCAGTGATTCATAGATTGTCATTAAAAACAATCCGTTCGTAGTCCAGTAAGGAACTGAGTCAGTTGTAGAAAGTCATAGATTGTGAGTTGTCATAACTGATAGTAATTGTAAAGAATTACGAACCCAATCATCGAATCCAGAACCCATTATTATTAGTCACGCTATCCACCGGATACGTGACAATATCTTGTACGTAGAAAATTAGTTAACAGTATCATGTAATACGTTTTTATTGCTTACAGATGAGTAACCTGTCTGGATGGAAGTGAGGCACTCCTTTCTTCTCCGAAGCTGTGAGTAAACCCACACCATATTACGAAATGTAAATTTCTGTACTGTATTCTGGATTTGTTGTCTTGAAATCAACCCGTACACATCAGGATAGGTAGTGGTTATGAGCAGAAACATCAAATTAAGTGTCAAAAGTGGAGAGAACCTGGCATAAAACAAACAATATTTCAAATTAACTTTTCTCCCAAAGACAAATTTGTGGCTGCTGAACATGAACAAACCTAGAAGTCTGCACTGAAATTTGGCGATAATTTTGAGGTTCTGGATTTGAGATTCAATGTTGATTATGAAGATTACCTACTTTTTGGATGTGACACCGTGCAGTCTGGTACATATTCGTATTTACATTCGTTTCGGAAGACCCTACAGTATCAATCTACACAGCATAAGATTTCTATCACAGAAAATTCCCTTTTAAGAGCTACGAAATTGCACTAATTTTGCACAAATCCCGTTGTTCCTCTCTCAGCCTTACTTACCTGCATTCCCCATGTCACTGACCCCTTTCTTCGGAGACCTGGAAGTTGGAGGCGGTTCTTCCGAACCGTTGTTAAATATCTACCAGTCTACACAGCGTTACATGCTAGAGGACAATAATCTTAATTTTAAGGAGCTTTTATATTTTTAAAATAAATTTATCTTGTAATTGAACGTATTAAATAACAAGCAGTTAATAAGGGATTTTTGTAATTCTGATTATAACGTATTACAACGGACTACGTCTACCATACTGACGACAGTAAAACACTCAGACCTACAATGTATTATTGCGCAGGTACATTGTCCCTCTACTGACACCCTTCTTGTTCCATAAGAAATGTAGACATTGCGTGCACAGCGCTCATGAGAACCTTCCTGACTGTCGGGTAGCCGGAGGCCAGCAGAACTACTCGCCTACATGCCCAGTGTACAGTCCCGTCAATATTTTATGATCTTTCATATTAGCTCTAACAGCTGTCCGCCTAGAAACAGTAATGGCCTACTATCAACTTTTCGAAATGCATCTTGTTAATTGTATGTTTTCACTGCTTTGCTAGTAAACGGCCTCTCTATTGAAGTTACTGTTCCGTGGATTTGGCGCCGTAAAGTCTGGTAAAAGTTTACTGTCATTTCGGAGGAAGGCACTACCATCGTCTTTATATTCGGCAAGGAAGCCAATCAGATGGCAAACAACTGAGTTTTTTATGCCACTGACCATTCTGATCATTAGAAACTTGCAACTCCACTGCAATTAAGAGTTTTTTTCTTGGGATGAGGTGAGACTGAGTTCACTTGGAACTATGGCATATTGTACCAGCCCAGCGTGATAGATGGTGAGTTTGGAGTAACCGGAGGAATGAGCAACGGCAGGGGAAACTGAAGTACTCGAAGAAATCCTGCAGTACCGTCTGCAGAGCGCGATGTCGATTTGTCTCTCCAGGAGAAGTGAAATCCATTGAATATTGTTACGTGTACGTGTTGTGCGTGACTTATAAGACGGGGTTTTGGATTCGATGTGTTGATTTATTGACACCTTATACAACCCACTCGGAACCACAAGCAATTACGGCGCTATCGCTGATCCACACACTTTCAGTTCATTATTACACACGCGCTACAGTTCTGTCTTCACTAGACGTATCCTGGCAACGGATTCATAACAGTTTCACTGTAACTTCAAATCACACATGAGGTCGTCTTTCCACAGCCTAATCCGGTTCTTGTCATTTCTTCTCAGACATCTTCGACTGTCTACTCTCTGAATTCTATATCCAACTTCTCCCAAGCTCATATCCTGGCAGGCTGGCTTCTGGAAACTCAACTAAGTCTTCTCAACTGAACTCTTCTGTATAACCACTATGCATGGACCGAGCAGAAAACACAGCCTCTCTGTTGTTGGGAAGGCATGTTTACAGAGTCGTTGCATAACAACGGAAGTTACACAAATGTTGCTTCTTATTAGTTACTGCGGGAATGTGTTTACTGAGTAGTTGCCTAGCAACGAACTTCTTTTCTGACTTCACTTTTCCGGCTTTCGGCCGTCTTTATATCCGCCTGGGTCGGTTTGTGGTTCTTACCGGAAGCCCCTGTGCGACAAGTGATTTTATGTGCTTGAGCAAGAAAGCAGAAGACGAAGGGAAACAGCAGTGTGGTGGTGGGGGTACCTCTTAACATGTGAGCAGTATAAAAAAGAACCACCTTTCTCTTCTAGAACTTAACATCACCAGACGGTTTCATGGGCACAGAGCCAGGCTGCACACTAACCTGCTTCATCTCTCTGCACATCATTCTACCAGATGACTCACCCAAGTACATAATTACGTCCAGAAGAACGGAATATAAACTTCTGAACCGAGCCACTTTTGGCACGGGCTGTGAACTATTTTGTGATTCCAATCGTTATTTTGGAGCTCCTCCTAGCGAACCATCCTCAATTATCGTACCGTCACGTTCCTGACTGTCAGTGAATTAGATCGTGTGTACTCTTCGTACTAAAGAATGTGGCGTGCTGAGAGACAAGCAGGCAATATCAGCTGCAGAGATTCGCGTGCATTTCTGTAAACTCACATACTTTGGAATGTGAAAAACATCTGATTTCCTAGAAACTCTATGGTTGAAGAGAAAAATTCTGATTTCTTATCAAGTTTAAGATTATTGTCTTAGGGGTGTGACCCTATACAGTCTGGTATAAAGTTACCATCATCAGGGTAGAATGACCTCTCTTAACATTCCACTAAAATGTTAGAAATTTTCCGCCAGACTACACAAGTTCATACAATAGAAGTGCCCTTCATACAGAGTCGAGAAATTTAAATCTGAATGCAACTAATTTACCCATTCCCTTTGTCGGCTTCTGTTGGAGATTAATTTTCAATTTGTACCGTACAATAAATATGACTAATATCTCTTAAAAAAAAAGGTATTGTCAACATTTAGGGGTGTGACTACAGACGGGGTTTGAATTGGTGAATAGTTTTACTGATCATTTGTATACAGCATTCGGAACTACAAGCCATTACAGCTAATCACCACCCCTTACAAATTACTAACACATACAGACTCTTGTCCTAAGCATATTACATTCTCCACAAGCCGTTTCCTGGCAACTGCTTCTACCAAGGGGATTCTTCAACTTCCTGTACTTAGGCCGTCTTGTCACAGCCGCCAGTGCGGAACTCTTGTCAACTGTCAATTCAACTAACTGGTTCCAAGGCTGGCGGCCATTTCACACCAACCTCCTAATCTTCTCTTCACAGTCTGATTTCCTACTGAAGTGACAGCTGAAGTCTCTCACTCACCAACCAGTTACTTCGCGTCACTTCACTCAACTGAACCGTTGACATATCCTGAAGCTCGGCTTGTATTCTCGTTATATAACCTTAGGGAGGACCAAACAGAAAACACCGCCTTCAGCAATGCTTCTATTGTTGTCATAGGCGATTTCCTGGCGATAATTTTGATATTGTTTCCGCGAGAACGTATTTACCCACAGTTACTTAGAAACGGGTGTATATTTATCCTCCTATTGCATAGCAACGGTTGTATTCGTTGTCCGTTTCAAGGTCTCTGCCCAGCAACGAGTCTATAAGTCACATTAATTGTCGGTGTTGCCGAAGAATTTAGAACCAAAGTAAACTGCGAAAGGGATGCTGCATTGATATGGTACCGTCAGGTAGGCAAGGTGTGTAACATTTTGTGCTCATCACCGTCACTGTAATGAACATTAGAAAATAAACGATTAACACAAAAGGTTGCACACTTCTGTTGGATGCGTTCTACTTTATTGGCATCAGTAGATGTGGTAGAGGTCGAAACAACAGAAGCGTATGCAAGATTACATCTAACACTGCTGAAATACAATTGTAACACGAGTAGATTCAGTTATTTGGTGGGCGAGAGGGAGAAGGTTACGAACTAGAACGAAACACTTACTCCCTGAGAAAAACTTATGGCTGTCGTAATATTTTTCCCCTTGGCACTAGAGCCCCAGTGGGCCTAGGCCTACCTCCATGAACTTTGCCGTTCACTTCGGTTTTTCTAGATCTTACACATTCGGTAGGACTCCTTGGGCGGGTGATCAGCTCGTCGCAAGGTCTCTACCTGTACACAAACACAGATAAACGCACACACACAAACTAAATATCAATGCCCTGAGTGGGATTCGAACCAACGATCCCGTTTTCCAAGCGAGCGAAGAGAGTACATGCCGGTTGTCGTGATTAAGGAAATGAAATTTAGATTCCAGAAATGCTCCAAAATCTCTAAGAGAATACTTGTGAAATTAAGTAGTTGACGTGATTATGGAAGTGAAGTTTAGACCCCAGTGTGAGTTAAATAGGATTAAAAACGTTTATGCTAATAGATCAATGCTTTTGTTTTCCTTGACAAGGATGAAACTTCAGTTTTACTAATAATGAGTTTAGAAATAAAAGTGGGACTACAAATAATGTCCCAAATTTAATTGTCTTATCTTTATTTAAACCAACATGGGACGATGGATAATATCCGAAAAAATCAGTGAACTTATTTTTGTTTAAATAAAGATAGAATGATGGGTAATGCTCAAAAAGTCAAACATTGTATTAATATACTTTCATCATGAACTTTTAGATCGTATTTCTTGGCTAGTGTTGTTATATTTTGGGCCTGTCGCTCGTCAACTCTATTTTATCTGATTCCCGAAAGGACAATTCTTCTGTTTTACGATTAGTTGCAAATTATTATTGCTGTATTAGTAATTAAATGAGACACAAAACGATAAATCCGTAGAAGCTGCAATGCTGTGTACGGTATTGTGCAAAATGTGCAATTTCTATTGTCCTATCAGCTATCATCCAGGCATTACGGCTTACTGATACATAAAACAGATTGTGCGTCTCGCTCGCTCAGTTCAATTTAATTGATTCGTGCTCTGATTTACTGAAAAGCAACGAGAAATTCTTTGAGTGTTCTGTAATTTGTACCAGGGGTGTACAGCTTGAGCTAGGCCAGATTCTCTAACACCGTGAAATGGTCTTCCTTG